CACCGGGCCGGCCCTCAATGTGTTTTAATACGCATTTCCTTGACTAATAATGAAGCTGAGCGTACTTCAAATATTCATAAACCATTCAGATACTATTTTTTTTGTAAAAGGGCCTTTCAAATCTTTGTACTTTTTCTATTGGGTTGTCTGTATTTTTTTATTGTTTGTAAGTATTAATTTACATGTTATTGATAAGAGACTTGTATCAGTTATACATGTTGGAAATATCTTTTTCACTCTGTAGTTTGACTTTTAATGCTCTTAATAATGTCTTTTGATAAACAGAATTTCTTAATTTCAATATAACCCAATATGCCAATATTTTCCTTTAAGGTTAGTATGTTCAGTGTCCTGTTTAAGAAGTCTTTGCCTATCCCGTGATCATGAAGATATTCTCCTATGTTATCTTTTAGAAGCTTTTTTTTTTCATCTTTCACATTTAAAGCTAAAATCAACCTGACAATTTTTGTTCATGTAATATGGAGGACAGTATATATTTTTCCCTCTTAGATATTCAAAGGATGCAGTACCATTTATTGAAAAGACAATCCATTTCCCCACTGCTGTACAATGGCATATTTTTCACAAATTTTCTACAAATGTTTGATTCTGTTTCTGGACATTCTATTTGATTACATTGGTCTACTTTTATATCCTTATGCAAACTGCATACTGTCTTAATTACTGTAGCATTATAATAAGACTTGATATTTGTCTATGTGCATACTCTCCTTTTGGTTATTCTTGGGCTTTTGCATTTCTATATAATTCCATATAACTTTTATACAATGTTGAGAATGAGCGTGTCAATTTTCACAACAATACTGTCTTTTAATTGTAATTGCACTGACTTTATAATTCATTTTAAGGAGAATTGTAATCTTTATAAATACTGATTCTCCCATTTAATGAATATAGTATATTGTTACATTAATTTAGGTCTTTTTTTTTTGAAGATGACCAGTAAGGGGATCTTAACCCTTGACTTCGTGGTGTCAGCACCACTCTCTCCCAAGTAAGCCACAGGCCGGCTCAAGGTCTTCTTATATACTCTTGGCAATGTTTTGTTGTTTTTTGAATTGAAGACCTGCACAGTTTTGTAAGACTTATTTCTAGGTTAAAAAATGTTTTTGGAGCTATTGCAAATAATATCACTTTAAATATTTTATTGAAGCATAACATACATATGTACATAAAACTCCACATGTAAGTGTAAACCTTGATGAATTTTCACAAACTGAACACAGTCACATAAACAGCACCCATCGAATCAAAAGATAATGTGTTATTAATTTATTAGGGAATGCAGCCTCAGGAAAGACTGCTTAGATGAAGAAAGTGGGAAGAATTTATCCATCAGTCACTATCTCCAATTGGCCCAAGTTTTGTTCCATGGAGCATCAACAGCCCCACACATAGAGATTATACTGAGATATTTGATATAATTTTTTTTATTTCAGGCTTAGTTTTTTTGTTTGAGGTCATTTTTTTTATTTGAGATGTATTTAATTTTTATATTTGAGATCAGTAACTCATGTCTGAGCAGCAACAGAGAAGCCCTATAGCAGGAGATGAGATGCTAAGCAGAGACAAAAGGTAAAGTCCTGTTGGTTTTTGCACAGAAGAAGTTGGTTGCCATGACTACTGGGGTAAAACAAGTGGCTAAGAAAAGATGACAAGAGAATCTGAGGTAACACATAAAACGTATCTAATACTCAGGGTGTGCTTGACTCACAAAGTGATTTAGGAAGTTTTCCTTTTTTCCTATTCCTTGAGAGAGTTTGTGCAAGACTTGTGTTATTTATTTCAGAAATACTTGGAGCAATATGGGCTTGGATTTTCTTTGTGGGAAGATTTTTAAATTATAGATTCATTTCTTTGATAGGTATAGGACTATTTAGGTTTTCTATCACTCCCTCTATAGTTTTTATAACACGTGTTTTCCTAGAAATTTTTCCATTTTATCTACCTTTTCAAATGTATTGGCATACGTTGTTTATAATATCCTCTCATATACTTTTTATTGCCTGCAGGTAGATGTATAGTGATGTCCCACTTTCATTTCTGATGTTAGTAATTTATGGTAACTTATATTCTTAATCAGACTTGCTAGGTGGTTATCAATTATTTTAATATTTTCAAGTAACCACCCGTTGGCTTTGTTTATTTTCTCCATATGTTTGTTTTCCATTTCATTTGTTTGTTTTTGATTTATTGTTTCCTTCTTTTATGATATATGACTATAATTTGCTGTTCTTTTTATAAATCCTGGAAATGAAAGGTTAGAGCATCAATTTTTTTCTTTTTTTAATGCATTCAAGACTTTACCTTGGAAGACACAATTTTAGCTGCCACACACACACGTTTTGATATGTAGGACCTTAATTATCATTCAGCTAGAAATATATTCTAATTTCCACTGTGTGTTTTTTGTCCCTATATTATTTAGAATTACATTGCTTAATTCGAAAACATTTGGGGAATTTATAGTACTCATTTTGTTTTCAATTTCTAATTCCACTATTGTTAAAGAATAGCCTCCTCATATTTTAATCCTTTGAAATTTTCATAATCATGTGTCCATGTGTCTATTTGGAAATAGAAATGGATTCAAGCCTCTTCTGAGAATCTAGGAATCTGATCACATCTATAAATCTAATCAGAAATTATGCAAATTAATGATTTATAAATTTGAAAAATATACCAAGTGTGAAAATTAGAACAAATATTACTTATTGTAAACTTATTTAAGGGCATTTTGAACTTGTATAAATGTTAAATAGTAATAAACATATAGCCCAATTCAGGAAATAAAAGATTATAAATGAAGATAAAGTCCACTACATTCCCAATTGTTTTTATGTCGTCTTCCAAACCCCTTAAAGATAACTACTACCTTAAATTTGATTTTTACCATCTCCTTACATTTCTTTATTTTTGCTACATTAAAATTCCTGTTCATATTATTTTCCATGCTTTTAGAATTTATATTTGTTATACTCTATGTATTCATCTGCAGTGTGCTCTTTTATGCTTGAAGAAACTTTCATAGTGTGAAGCACAGTGGATTATTGTTTCTCAAATTTTACCTGGGTATGATCAGGACTCATTTCTAAACTCAGACAGTTTTAAAAACATGTTTTCTTATAGTTAAAAAAATTTTGATCAGGATTCCTTTGATGCAATAGAAAGGTCTGCAGTGAGCAGTGAGAAATTGACATATTTGAAATGGCACAGGTCAATCTAGAAATTCTTTTATCAGAATTAATAAACATCAAAGCACAGATAGTTGGGTAGGAAGATGAAAGAAAATTAAAGATGTTCTCCATCATCAGATTATTATTATATTTGGAACACATATAAATGGAAAGACGTAAGTTAGTTCCATGAAAGAAAACAAAGCAACTCACCAGCAAACGGACAACATGAGTCTCTTTTCTTTCAGAAGATCGTGGAGAGAGGCTGGTACCGTGAATATGCAGGATTGCCTTGTGATATCTGAAAAGGATAAGGACCATGTAGAAAATGGTCCAAATTATGAGGGACAAAAAGAGAAAATCTTGCAGAAACATGGCACTTAAGAATAGCATGGCATGGAGCCGGCCTGGTGGCGCACTGCTACAGGGCGCCACTTGGGAGTGAGCGCCGCTGAGGGTTCGGATCCCACATACAGACCAGCCGCTCACTGGCTGAGCGAGGTGCCGGCGCAACACCGAGGGTTGCGATCCCGTTGCTGGTCCTGGTCCGATACGGGCGCGACACTGAGGGTTGTGATCCGTTGCCGGGCACGAAAAAAGACAAAAAGGAAAAAAAAAAAAAAGAATAGCATGGCATGGAGCCGGCCTGGTGGCGCACTGCTCAAGGGCGCCACTTGGGAGTGAGCGCCGCTGAGGGTTCGGATCCCACATACAGCCCAGCCGCTCACTGGCTGAGCGAGGTGCCGGCGCAGCACCGAGGGTTGCGATCCCGTTGCTGGTCCTGGTCCGATACGGGCGCGACACTGAGGGTTGTGATCCGTTGCCGGGCACGAAAAAAGACAAAAAGGAAAAAAAAAAAAAAAAAAAGAATAGCATGGCATGATGGTATGTAAACTGTCTTGTTTTATAGTTCATCAGAGAATATACAAGTCCAACCTCAGTGGAATTGCTGGTGGCCACAGTGCTTATAATGGCCCACATACTGAGTAGCATGTTGCTTATCCAGGAACAAATCAATAAGGGCAGAATTTGTTGGGAGGTTTTGGGTTTGATCCATGCCCACTTAGAATAACCAGGACTGATAATAATATCCTAAAATGTATTCAGGAGAGAAGTAAATATACAAATTCACTGTGTCACTTTATAAATGTATAGTACTGCTTTACAACCAATATCATCCAAAATGTGTAACTTCAAAGGATATCATTATATATGGAATACCCCTTAAGATAACTGTAACAACATTAGCAAAAATTAGGTGAGTAAGAATCACATGTAAGGGCTTCTTCTGATGGGCTTGAAATAAGAAGATGTACATATATGTGATGAATAGCAATAAGTTCCCCATGAGCCCAAGGCCAATTTGAAAGACAAGTAAAATTCCCAGTCTTGTGTCTCTTGAGAACAAAGTATTCACGATTTTTTTGGATCCTTAGATTGAAGCCAGCACAGCCTAAACTGCAGCATAAATATATTCTACAAATGAAACTTAGCAATCAGAGTCCTTAGAAATTTCAATTTTGACAGCCATATTATAAAAGATGAACAAATACTTAACTATTAATGAACTCACAGCTTATCTGTGGTATCTCCAGAGGCTGGATGACATATATTGTTCAAATATCTAGAGAGCAGATTAGGTTTATGCAGCTGAGCTTCACATACACGTTTTTACCATTTGTTCTAGACCATTTTTCAGGAGTTGTCTGTTCTACTTTTAAAACAATTTTGCATATAATAAAAAGCAATTTTTCTTCAAACTCTAGTATTGTATTTTACTTTGAAACTTATAACTTTAAATATCTTGTACTTTTTATAGACAGTTAATCCTTATACCCTCTAAGTAGTAAACATGTATACTGATTTACTTTTCAGAATGCCAGTTGTAACACACTGTATTTTTATGAATAATAAAATATATTTATAACATATAGCTAATAACTATTCAGTAATTTCTGCCATTAAAGTGCTCATTTTGCTTGTTCTGAAGTATTTCCTTTGGTTATGGAGCATATTTACTATGTTTACAAATATAGTGAGGGTTCAATTGAAGTTAACAAAGTGATCCAATGTAGTAAGGAATTAAACAATTTACTTTCTAGTCAGCCAACAAGGTTGGTGAAGTCAACCTCCTGAAATTGAATTACTGTCTAGTAATCACCATAACTTTCAATGTTTCATCACAGCAAGTTATATAAACAACTTGGTCTCCAGCTTGCCCTGCAGTATTTGGAATACACACACACACACACACACACACACACACACACACACACACACTATTGGTTCTCTTTTTCTGGAGAAACCTGACTAGGACACCAGGGAAGCTGGACTACATGTGAATGCCCAGGGCCAGATGCATGCTTTGAAATGACCTAAGAGAACCCTAAGCTTGTACCTCTGATTGATCTTTGGGGTCCATACAAGCAGAAGACGATAACTAAGGCAGAGGTGTAGGTGGCCTGGCTTAGAAATACAGTGCCCCAGCTTACAACCAATCTTCAAAGACCAGGGAAGTTTTTTTTTTTCCCCCCTCCAGGTATTTATGAAATTTTTTTGTCAAGTCTCTGGCTGACTGTTGAAATAATAGAACTTCAGTGACCACGCATGACAAGCAATATAGTCTTTGCAAAAGTAGCTCAGAAAAGTCACTAAAGAAACAGATGAAGTTCTCAAAAATCAAAAATCAACCATAACAAACCCTGTGTAGAGAAGTTCTGATATCCAGAGTTTCCAGATTGTTATATCCCAAATATTCAGTTTTCAAGAAAAAGCTACAGAGCATAAAAAGAAAGAGGAATATATGCTCATTCACAGAAAAAAGAAATTGATAGAAACCATCCCCAAGGAAGCCCAGAGATTGTGTTTATTAGATAAAGACTTTAAATCATCTGCCTTAAATATGCTCAAAGAGCTAAAGGAAACCATGGACAAAGAACTAAAGGAAAGCAAGATAATGATGTATGAACAAATAGAGAATATCAATAAAGATAGAAAGTATAAAAAGGAACCAAATAGAAATTATGGAGCTGAAAAGCATAAAAGCTGAAATAAGACATTCACTAGAGGGGCTCAACAGAAGATTTGAGGATATAGAGGAATGAATCAGTGAGCTTGAAGATATGACAATTGAAAATATCCAGTTTGAAAAGAAGAAAAAAGAAAAGAAAAAATTGAGCACTGCCTGAGACCTGTGAAACAGGTCAAGGAGCACCAACTTACACATTACGGAAGTACCAGAAGGAGAAGAGAGAGAAGGACAGAAAGAATATTTGAAGAAATAATGGCCAAAAACATCCCAGAGTTGATAAAAAGCATGAATCTATATATCCAAGAAGCTGAATTAACTCAAAGTAGAATAAACGTATAAAGATTCATTGTGAAACATGTTAGAATCAAATTGTTGAAAGCCAAGGACAAAGAGAGACTATTGAAAGCAAAAAGAGAGAAGTGACTCCTCATGTACAAGGGATCCTCATAAGATTAGCAGCCAATTTCTTATCAGAAACCATGGAGGCCGGAAGGTAGTGGGATGATAGATTTAAAGTGCTGAAAGAAAGAAAAACAAACCTACCAACCAAGAGTTCTAATCCACAATTCTTTGTCAAAAATAAAGGATAGATAAAGAAATTTACAACCGAACAAAAACTGGATGAGTTTTTTGCTATAAGATTTGCTCTACAAGAAATAGAATCCTTCGGGCTGAAGTGAAAGGACACTGGACAGAAACTTGAACCCATATGAAGAAATAAATAACTGTGGTAAAGATAACTACATACATAAATATAAAACCCAGTATTATTGCATTTTTGGACTGTACTTCTGTTTTCTACATAATTCAAAGAACAAATTCATAAAGCAATAATTACAAATCTATGTTAATGGGCACACAATGTAGAAATGTGTAATTTTTTACAGTTAGAACATAAAGGGCTATAAACCTGTATAGAAGAAGAGCTGAATTTACAAAACTCAATTGCATTTGTAGCAACAAGCAATTGGAAATAAAACCTCTTAAGTAACATTTTCAATACCACAAAAACCATAAAATTCTTGAGGATAAATTTACCAAAAATGTGTAAGACCTCTACATTGAAAAGTATTCATTGAAAACATTAAAAGAACACTGTTCAAAAAATTAAACAAGACCTAAATAAATACAGAAATAAATTAGGTCTGTGAATTGGAAATTTCAATATTGTTAAGATGTCAATTCTCCTCAAATTGATATATTGATACAGTTTAATTACCCCCCCCCAAAAAAAAAATCACAGCAGGTTTTTTTAGGGTATGAAATGGAGAGGTTGATTCCAAAATGTAGGTGAAAATGCAAAGAACCTAGAATGGCCAAAACAATCTTACAAAGAAGAACAATATTGGAGGATTTACATTACCTGAACAGAACTGAAAGGCTAGAAATATACCCACATATATATGATCAACTGATTTTTGACAAAGGGCCAAGGTGATTCAGTAGGGAAAGATTATTATTTTCAACAAATTATGCTGAAACGACTGAATATCTGTATGGATAGAGATAAAGCTTAACTAATATTTTATACAATACACAAAAATAAACTTGAAATGGATAATAGATCTGTGTAGAAAGGCTGAAACCCTAAAACTTCTAGAAGAAACTGTATTTTAAAATTCTCTTCACAATCTTGTGGTAGGCAAATCTTTCAGGACATAGAAAACAGTAACAATAAAGAAAAATATTGAATAGAATTTCATTAAAATGAAAATCTGCTGCTCTTCAAAAAGCACCATTAATAAGACTCTTCACAATCTTGTGGTAGGCAAATCTTTCAGGAAATAGAAAACAGTAACAATAAAGAAAAGTATTGAATAGAATTTCATTAAAATGAAAATCTGCTGCTCTTCAAAAAGCACCATTAATAAGATAAAAAAAGAAATCCACAAACTGGTAGAAAATATTTGTAACACATATATCTGACAACAAACTTGGATCCAGATTATATCATGTACCTCACAACAATAAAAGCAACAATGTAATAATGATAAAGTAATAAGCAAAAGATTTTAATAAATATTTCATGAAAGAAGATTAATGAATGGCCAATAAACACATGTAAAGATGCTCAACATTTTTATTCATTAAGTTAATGCAAATTAAAACTACGAGATACCACTACACATTCACTAGATTAGCTAAAGTTATTAAAATCGCTACTGAAAATACCAAGTGTTGGCAAAGATGTGTAGCAACTAGACTCACAAATTGCTGGTGGGAACATAAACCTGTTTAAATACTTTGGAAAATAGTTGGACAGTTTTTATTATTTATTTAAAGACATGCCAAAGAATTGTATGCTAATTTTTACCGCAGCGTTATTTGAACTAGTCAAAAACTGGAAACAACCCAAATGTCCATTAATATGTGAATGGACAAATAAACAATGGTATACTGATATAATGGACTATTATTCAGCAATAAAATGGATGCACCACCGATATATACTACAATATGGATGAATCTCAGAATCATTACTCTGAATTAAAGAAACCAGATGCAAAAGAGTATATACTATATTACTCCATTCATTAGAAACCTCATGAGTCACAACTAATCTATTGTGATAGAAATGAGAGTCATTGGTTTACTGGGTCCAGGTTGAGGGTACATTGATTGCAAGAGAGCATGTGGGAAATTTGTGGAGTGAAGAGAGTGTTCTGTTTTGATCGAGGTGGTTGTTACACTGGTGTGTATGTGTGTGTGTGAGAAAATGATGAAACCATACAACTTAAAATGGGTCAATTTGTAT